GAGCCGCTAAACAGCTCAAGGAAATCTAACTTTCCGGTCATAGCTGGCTCCCATGTATAACAACCATATGTAATACCTTCAGGACCTGACTGATTGGCATCGTGTTCTATGATGTTATTTGCATGGTCATCTGAGCGGCAAGTGGACTTCACTGCTGTACAGGCGCCCTTGGCCGAAGATTCGGCACCGGCGGCAGCTTTGGCCGAAAAGTCGGCACTGGCAAGTGCAATTGGTTCTAAAGGAATGTCAATATCCTCAATAGGATTATGGTCTTTTCTTATTTTACTGATGTTGACCTTCACGATTCTGGTTCCTAAGTCAACTCCAACCATGCTGCCATCTACTGAAACCAACTTCCCTTTTATCCATTTTCCTCCATGTGAACCGTCTGATTTGATTTTTGATTTGTCTTCGGTCCAATAGTAAACTTTATCTCCAGGAAAGAATGGTCCATCACTAAGTTGAAGTTTACTTGCAATATCTCTCCGAAGGTCATCAGACTGTTTTGCCTCTAGAAACTTTCGCATCGCCAGTGACCTTAGTGCTTCAATCTGTCTCTCAGGAGCAGGGGCCTCAGTCGTGAGCTGTGCTGGATTCATGAGCTCAATCGCCGTAAGATCGGCAGGCCTTCTGCCAAATGCTAATTCAATAGGAGTGACACCACCGAGTGTTACCATGGTGTTCCTTGAAATGCAGGCTTGTCTCAACAACTGTTTGTAAGTAATGTTGGCAAGCAATGGATCATTTTTCAAGGAAATTAGCATTAATGAGACCTGTTTCTTAAACATGCGAATGGCTGCTTCAGCTCGATTTGGCCATGGTGTTCCTGGTCCTAGAGAGATTGGCCTGATGCTGTGCCGGTTGTAATAACTCTCCATCTCAGTGCCCATAAAAGCTTGATCGGCAACAATGTATTTTGGATTCAGCTGATAAGTTTCAAAATATTCTTGAAGATGAGAAATCGTCACCGGATCAGATCTGTTTTGAACTACAAAAGCAGTAGTCAAAGAGGTTGCACCGTCATACATAAGTAGGAATTGAAGCTTTGACTGAGGATTGATAGGAACTTCTCCATGATCAATGAAAGTAAGTTCACCAAAGACTTCACTTCGGATTCCTGAAACCTTGGCTCTTGATGGTGCAATCTTGGCAGTGGAACATGTGTCACATGATTTAGTAATCTGATCAAACTTGTCATAAATTTCTTTTGGTAACTTCAGAGCCGATGTTCTTCTCTTGAATTGTTCAGTGGTCATGTGATAATGCTTCAAGTGCAACTTGAGAAGTTCAGTAGGTGATTGAAGCTTATCATGAATTCTCTGAAGTGCAAGTGACAAGGTTCCCTTAGGTGACGGTTCCTTTTTCTCTTCAAGTTTCACTTCAACCTTGGATTCCGGTTTAACTTCAGGTTCTTCTTCAATCTGAGGTTCCCGACGTCTTGGGATACCGTCCTTCGAACCGGAACTTGGCCCAGAGGCCACCATTGGCTCTTCATCGGGATCAAAAGGTTGAGCTGGTACTTCTAACTTGCTATCAGGCTGAATTGTTTTCTTGACAATCTTCTTAGAATCAGGCTTGGCCGGTTTCGGCACCTCTGCAGGCTTAGGCTCTGATCCCTTGAATCTCTTGCAACCTTCCTTGTTTGTGTGTGGTCGATGTTTACCATTGCATGCTGGGCATGTGATGTCTTCGGACTGAAAGCTGTACATCGGTTTCCAACTGGAAGTAGCAAGAGCCATAATGTCAAGGACTGGATGGTTGGATGTACTGACCGCTAATGCGGTGCGCTGCATTCCAAACAGTGGACAAGTCATGAACTCACCTACAGGAGTGTGTTCAATGTTCATGCGAAGATTCCTCATTTGTTCAACTGAAAAGAGGATAGGAACCTTACCTTTGTCCAGGATGTCAACGCATGTTGTGATCCAACCAGTTTGTGCACGATCATTGCGAAAATGAATCACTAATGTTTCCTTGACAGTAGATTGTTCTCCATTGGCAAATGAAAACTTACTTGAACACGGTTGCTTAGAAAACCAAATGTGATCACGCTTGGGATGTTGCTGGCAAGCCTGTACAAGGCGATCAATGGCAAAGCGGGATCCCATGGCTCGAGTGCAACCTGAGTCAAGGATGACATAAGTCGGATGAGAACCTAAACCTACATACTCACAAAGCAATGCTTGTTGGGCACCATGATCATAATTTAGGAATACACACTCTTCCGTAGAGACGGAATCGAGCGGGCTTGTGCACGGCTGAAACGAATGCAGATCACCGTTTTCGGTAGAAACACTCTTCTCAACTTGGCGAATGCTCTTCAATAGGGACCTGTTCAAATCAGAAAAGCACTGGTACATCACAGACACGAACAGAAGCACGAATGTGAGGGCCTCTACAAGTTCGTGTCCGAACAATCGGAACAAGCGGATGCCTGAAAAACAGAACCGGTTGATCTTGTCGGTCTGTCCGTCCTCGAAATTGACGTCTGAATGCTTGTCCTCGGAGTCGGTCAGTTCCTCAGCGGAAGCAAAATACGACCAATTGTACCAATCACCTTGGGAGTAATCTCCGTCATATCCATAGTAGGATTCATAACCTGACCAGTCGTCTGTCCAGTAGGTGTCATAGTCGTAACTCCAGCTTTCTTCGGCATGGGCTGTCTCTTGTTTTTCAGGGGCATGTGATGCACTGGATGATGCAGTCTGTGCTACATTAGCTTGTGGAGGTTGTGACAAAAATGGATTGGTTCCTCCTTTGTTCTTCGCATCACTTTTTCCTTTTCCTTTCCATGAAGGCATTCCTTTGAAAGAATCCTTTCCTTTCATCATTCCTTTCTTGCCCTTTTTACTTTTTCCTTTGCCCTTGCCTTTTCCCCAGAAAGCCGTGTCTTGCTGGTCATCTTCCCATGCTGCAAAACCTTTGCCTTTTGACCTCGAGCGGAAGCCGGGTCTTGATTTCTTTCCTCCTTTCTTGCCATAACCTTTTGGTCTACCTTTCTTGAAGGACCTGCCGTAGATGCGGCGCTTAGAGTATGAACCCTTGGCGCTGAGAACCCAGAACTCGTTCTCCGTGTACAGACCTGTGAAACCTTCTTCACCCGTCTCTTCATCGAAAACCCAAAATCCGTACTCACCTTCTTCGGTCTCGCCCTCGTCGATGACGTAGAAGCTGGACCGCTTGCGGTGCGTGATATTTGGGTCTGCAACACCTGTGCGGGAAACGGCAAAAAGTTCTAAGAACAGCTGTTTCACTTGGAGATAGGTGTATTGAGGCATTGCAATCTGACGGATGTTCATGGACGAGACAAAGCGCTCTCGCTGTTGCTCGTTGAGGTCTGCTTGCACTAGAAAAATCAGTGACATCAAATTGTCTGACAATGGAAACTGCTGTGCATGTCTGGTCCTTCTATTGGTTATGGTCTGTTCTCTCAGTTCTTGTTGATAAGCTAGCTTATCTTCATCTGTTACTATTCCATTATAGTGCAGTCTTTGCTCATCTGTGAGTGCTGCCGTAAATGCCTGAGTGCCTGCCTCGGGGAGATCGGATATGTCCAGCAGATCGGACCAAGAAGCCAACAAACGCTTCTGCGCGATCTCAAATCGCCCTATCCAGTGCACGAATTCACTCTGGCCTCGATATGTGCGAAACATCTGGAGGAATCGCCAAAGGAACACATGATTTACTCCCTTCACGAAGTATGGTCTCAATGTGTCCTTGAAATGAGCGAGGCCACGATCCGGATCTCGGAGTAGGGCATTATCGAGCATCGACTTATAAAAAGAAGCGGAACCAATGAGGGCATTCTTTAATGATGGTCCGTGTTTATCTGCATCCAATGTTGTGATCCCTAACCAGTCATCAATTAAATCTTCATATTCAAACCAGCTTGATTGGCCATCAAATTGGGGTGGAACCTTTGGTGTCATTTTGATGCCCATCCGGTTTTCGGAATGACTGGTGGCGGCATATGCTTCAGGCTCTTCATAAGAGACAATCTGGAGTTGTTCTTCATCTGAATCCATGTTGTGGATTAAGACCATGGCAGCTACTCTAACTTGACCTACAGGTTGCCTCCGCAAGTCCGATATACGGAATGTATGCAGAGAACGGCAGTTCGGCACACAGATCTAGACTTGGCGAAGGCACAGGCTCCGCTACCACTTTGAGGTAGCTTTTCCCTCTATTAGGGGAGCCCTGGAAACCTAAATAAACACCTGTAGCAAGCGGAAGCGACTACACTCTTTTTGTACACGCGGAATTGCTGCTAGTCTTGAGCCATGCGGAGTGCGCATGAAAGATGTGAATTAAGTGTACATGTCAACATGCATGAATGCATTGTGGAGACACGTAAAACAAACTAAATCACAGGGGGGCGAGAGGGGGGCGAGAGCGGGGAGGCAAGGGGGAGGCAAGGGGCGGAGAGAGAGGGGGGGCGAGAGGGGGGCGAGGAGGGTGGAGAGAGGGGGGGGAGCGAGGGCGAGAGGGGGGGGCCGGGGAGTAGGGGCAGGCGAGTGAGAAGGGCGAGAAGGGGGCGGAGAGCGGGGGAGAGAGGGGGGAGAGGCGAGAGGAGGGGGGCGAGAGAGAGGAGGCGAGGGGGAGAGGGGGGGAGAGGGGGGCCGAGAGGGGGCGCGAGGGGGGCGAGAGGGGGGCGAGAGGGAAGCGGGAGGGGGGGAGAGGGGGGGTCCGGACGAGGGGCTTTGGGGGGGTCCAGACGAGGCGTCGCCCGAACCGGAAGGTCCCAACATTGATCAGTTCCGTTTTGGGTCCTCTAGCTTTTTATATGAGCGTTCTCTTTCTGTAGCCTGATTTCTTCCCCTTCATTTTGGACCTCGCTGTTTTGTGGGCAGCTTCTCTTGGTCATATTAGTCATGCGGATTGTCAAAACTCCCCCAACCCCTTCTAGAAAAGTCTCTATGAAAAGACTGAGCCTGGGATGGCCTGGGACATGTCACAGTGCTTGGCTGCTACTTTCTAATCAAAGCAGCTTCCCTAGCCGTCCTGTCCATGAGCACGCCCTCATCCTCCAACCAGGATTGCTCTGCCCTCACATCGGACGGCTCTGCTTCAAGCCAACAAGGCTGAGAATCAGTTAGATCCGGGAACCGAACCCAACGGCTCCAATGGCCAAAAAAAAACTGATTGAAATAGATCAAACATCCCTAATCTGGGCCCCATTTCTGAGGACTGGGCACATGCACTGCAGAACTGGAAGGCCTGCAAGTCAGCATGTGGCTTCAAAATGCTTCAAACCACCTGAAATTGCCTGAAACTCATTGATTGTTTCTGGGCCCAACACTCAAACAATTTGCCTCTCCCAAACCAATCATACAAGAAAAAAAGTTGGCATCTTCGATCAATATGTTGGGTCGGCTCTCTTCAAGGTTGACCCCGACATGGACCTGCCAACATTGATCAGTTCCGTTTTGGGTCCTCTAGCTTTTTATATGAGCGTTCTCTTTCTGTAGCCTGATTCCTTCCCCTTCATTTTGGACCTCGCTGTTTTGTGGGCAGCTTCTCTTGGTCATATTAGTCATGCGGATTGTCAAAACTCCCCAAACCCCTTCTAGAAAAGTCTCTATGAAAAGACTGAGCCTGGGATGGCCTGGGACATGTCACAGTGCTTGGCTGCTACTTTCTAATCAAAGCAGCTTCCCTAGCCGTCCTGTCCATGAGCACGCCCTCATCCTCCAACCAGGATTGCTCTGCCCTCACATCGGACGGCTCTGCTTCAAGCCAACAAGGCTGAGAATCAGTTAGATCCGGGAACCGAACCCAACGGCTCCAATGGCCAAAAAAAAACTGATTGAAATAGATCAAACATCCCTAATCTGGGCCCCATTTCTGAGGACTGGGCACATGCACTGCAGAACTGGAAGGCCTGCAAGTCAGCATGTGGCTTCAAAATGCTTCAAACCACCTGAAATTGCCTGAAACTCATTGATTGTTTCTGGGCCCAACACTCAAACAATTTGCCTCTCCCAAACCAATCATACAAGAAAAAAAGTTGGCATCTTCGATCAATATGTTGGGTCGGCTCTCTTCAAGGTTGACCCCGACATGGACCTGTCAACATTGATCAGTTCCGTTTTGGGTCCTCTAGCTTTTTATATGAGCGTTCTCTTTCTGTAGCCTGATTCCTTCCCCTTCATTTTGGACCTCGCTGTTTTGTGGGCAGCTTCTCTTGGTCATATTAGTCATGCGGATTGTCAAAACTCCCCAAACCCCTTCTAGAAAAGTCTCTATGAAAAGACTGAGCCTGGGATGGCCTGGGACATGTCACAGTGCTTGGCTGCTACTTTCTAATCAAAGCAGCTTCCCTAGCCGTCCTGTCCATGAGCACGCCCTCATCCTCCAACCAGGATTGCTCTGCCCTCACATCGGACGGCTCTGCTTCCAGCCAACAAGGCTGAGAATCAGTTAGATCCGGGAACCGAACCCAACGGCTCCAATGGCCAAAAAAAAACTGATTGAAATAGATCAAACATCCCTAATCTGGGCCCCATTTCTGAGGACTGGGCACATGCACTGCAGAACTGGAAGGCCTGCAAGTCAGCATGTGGCTTCAAAATGCTTCAAACCACCTGAAATTGCCTGAAACTCATTGATTGTTTCTGGGCCCAACACCCCAACAATTTGCCTCTACCAAACCAATCATACAAGAAAAAAAGTTGGCATCTTCGATCAATATGTTGGGTCGGCTCTCTTAAAGGTTGACCCCGACATGGACCTGCCAACATTGATCAGTTCCGTTTTGGGTCCTCTAGCTTTTTATATGAGCGTTCTCTTTCTGTAGCCTGATTCCTTCCCCTTCATTTTGGACCTCGCTGTTTTGTGGGCAGCTTCTATTGGTCATATTAGTCCATGCGGATTGTCAAAACTCCCCAAACCCCTTCTAGAAAAGTCTCTATGAAAAGATTGGGCCTGGGATGGCCTGGGGCATGTCACAGTGCTTGACTGCTACATTCAAATCAAGCAGTTTCCCTAGCCGTCCTGTCCATGAGCACGCCCTCATCCTCCAAAAAGGATCGTTCTGCCCTCACATTGGACGGCTCTGCTTCAAGCCAACAAGGCTGAGAATCAGTTAGACCGGGAACCGAACCCAACAGCTCCAATGGCCAAACAAAAACTGATTGCAATAGATCAAACATCCCTAATCTGGGCCCCATTTCTGAGGACTGGGCACATGCACTGCAGAACTGGAAGGCCTGCAAGTCAGCATGTGGCTTCAAAATGCTTCAAACCACCTGAAATTGCCTGAAACTCATTGATTGTTTCTGGGCCCAACACCCCAACAATTTGCCTCTACCAAACCAATCATACAAGAAAAAAAGTTGGCATCTTCGATCAATATGTTGGGTCGGCTCTCTTAAAGGTTGACCCCGACATGGACCTGCCAACATTGATCAGTTCCGTTTTGGGTCCTCTAGCTTTTTATATGAGCGTTCTCTTTCTGTAGCCTGATTCCTTCCCCTTCATTTTGGACCTCGCTGTTTTGTGGGCAGCTTCTATTGGTCATATTAGTCCATGCGGATTGTCAAAACTCCTCAACCCCCTTCTAGAAAAGTCTGTATGAAAAGATTGGGCCTGGGATGGCCTGGGGCATGTCGCGGTGCTTGACTGCTACTTTCAAATCAAAGCAGCTTCCCTAGCCGTCCTGTCGATGAGCACGCCCTCATCCTCCAACCAGGATTGCTCTGTCCTCATGTTAGAGAGGCTCTGCTTCAAGCCAATAACGCTGAGCATCAGTTAGACCGGGAACCGCCCAACAGCTTCAATGGCCCCAAAAAACAGGATTTCTATAAATGGATTTAAACAGTTAGAATATTTAAAAGTCCCTACTATTCTCGGCCCCATTTCTGAGGAGTGGGCACATGCACTGCAGAACTGGAAGGCCTGGAGGTCAGCGCGTGACTTCAAAATGCTTCAAACCACCTGAAACTGCCTGAAACGCATTGCTTGTTTCTGGGCCCAACACCCCAACAATTTGCCTCTCCCATACAGAAAACAAAAAAAACAAGTTGGAATCATTGGAATCTGCGATCAATATGTTGGGTCGGCTCTCTTGAAGGTTGACCCCGACATGAACCGGAAGGTCCCAACATTGATCAGTTCTGTTTGGGGTCCTCTAGCTTTGAAATGAGCTACTACTGCAGGGAGAGTCTTTCCCTCCATTTTGTAATCCTTAAACCTCTTCCAGAAAAGCATTGATGAAACACTTGGCCTAGGGCCCTAGGGGACATGTCTTGACTGCTCCCTTTTTTCGCCCACCATCTTAACTTCCAGCCGTCCTGTCAAACAGCACACCCTCATCCTCCAACCAGGATTGGTTCGTCCTCACAGTTGGAAGGCACTGCTTCAAACCAATCAGGCCGGGTATCCCTTTAACCGGGAACCGTATCCAAGAAGTGAGGAGTGGGCACATGCATCGCCAAGTTCGAAGGCCCTCAACTAAGCTGGTTGCGTGAAACCCGAAAGTGCTTGCGTGTTGTGTTTTTGGGGACCTTCCTCAATATCAAGCCCTTCGAAAAGGGAAAAAAACATAAACCGGTGTCCAAGAAAGTGGGAAATCCAAAAATTTGCCTTTCCCTGCAACACCTGGGGGGTTCCATCTTTTGAATCCTCCCCCGGGCCTATCCAAGCCGATGACACCCTCATCTTCAAGCCAGGAGATGGCTATCGCCCTGGGATGCTGGAAGAAATCCCATCCTCTGAATGTTGGTGATTTGAAATAACAAATTTTCATGGCTTCATCACCGCTTTATCATTGTTTTATTGCCATGTTGATTCAATCAACTTGAATCCCGAGAAGATTTTCCGAAACTGAGTGTCACCCCATTTCTCAATGACTTCCCCGGACTTGGCTGTCTCGTTTCCAAAGCCTAAGCCTATCCTGTGGCATGACTCACGAAACCAAGCTGCTCCAATTCGGGCGGAGCCTCAGCAAAACGTTGTGAAGGCTGGGGGGCTGTAGAATGACAGCCGGATACAGTAGGTGTTTCACCATGGTGTAAATGGACTATTGATGGTAAACAGAAACATTGGCCAGTAACAAGTAGCAATCTACAACCAACAAAGCGAATACTAAATAATTCCCTTCACGGCTGCCTCGCTATGCGTCAGTTCACACTGGAATCCCGAGTTTTCACGCCAAAATACCCGGTCTTGCTGGATGTTCTTCCCCAAAGCAGGGTTCTATAGGTATTCAGCCATTCCCATATATAACAAGTGCAGTATTGTGCAGTTATGACCCCTTCTACCTCAGCATTGAGAGGTCCATGTCAGTGCAGTAACATGATGAAATCCGTAGTCAAGATGAGCCAAGCGCAGTACAGGTTTGACCCTCTGAATTCAGGGAGCAGGGTACACAGACTGTCACAACCCATCTGTTCAATATACAATATATTTACCTACATTGTCCTGCATTTGGGTCATGTCTTAGATATAAGGTACAGTAATGAATGCTGTTAATACACATTGCGCGTGACTTGGAGCGCACAGCTCCCACCTGTGCAGAATACTAGTGAAATGTTATCCAGATCTGGCACTGGGTCTTCCCAAACTTGGGGGGACACCCCCCCAAAAAAAACACACCAAAGATAAAAGGGATTATTTGAGACCAAGTTTCCCGAATTGTTGAGGGTACTCTCTGGTAATCAAACTCGGCTGGAAAACCAACTTATCTTCATAGACAATTCAATAATTAATCTACCAATGGCGAAGTTCCAGCCAGCGAGATTAGATTTGCTGAGTCGAAATTGGTGCACACATGGAGCCTCAAGATTGGTGGTTCTAGTATTCAACGATGTATTGTGGGGGTTAATAATGTTGATGCATCCCCATTAACCAATGCCACCACTACCAAGAGTCACTACCCACACTCATTAGCTTTAGATTGTCCCTGTTTTCCAGGTTCCCCACAGGCGACGGCTCAATCAAGACCTTCCCAACGGCAGTGGGGGTATGATCTTCCCTTCAAAGGGGGTAAACAAAAATAGTCATCAACCACATGCAACCAAAACATCAACAAATAATATGGCCAAACTTTAGCACCGTAACATGGCTATTTGCGGACACTGTTTTTGCAGCGCCAGCATCATCCTGATCCCACCAATGACTCAATGACATGCCTTGCTGTAAGTCGAATTAGATAAAGATACCCAACTCTGGTCTAGTGCTTGCTCGACCCCCCAGCTTGAAGTAGTCCCCATTGTTCCACTACCCTCTGGTAACCAAACATGGCAATAGAAATTCCCGCATTTGCTTCGATGATTGTAGCTATAAACCTCCATGTATCTCCATAGCCGGGGATTTCCCAGCCAGCCGCCAGCAAACCGGAGGGTATTCCTCTGCCCTGTGGTTCTTGGACATGTTCCCATCAAAAAAAACACCAACTCATCGCACCTGCGTATTGGTCAAACTTGCCAGTGCCTCGGCCATTCGCAGCGGGACATGCAACTCCTTGGTCTTTTAGGATATTTTTCCTGTCCCAATAATAAAGATCTTGCCAGACTGAGATTTGGCAGTTTGTTATTGTTGTTGTTTGGTCGTTGGGTTTTGTCATGTGTTTGTAAATCCTGTTTTGTGATATCATGTGTCTGTCATTTAAGGTTTCCCAAACTTAGCAAACAAACCAGCCCTTTACAGAAAAAATAAAAAAATAAAAGGACCGGATAACCCCACAAGCCAACTTCTTCCAATAATCAGCAAGAAATGTTGTAGCGGGGACGGAGAAGGAAGGAAAAACAAAGGAGGAGGTGGAGGAAAGATGGTGTGTGACAAAGTTGTGTGTGACAAAGTGGTGTGTGAAAGATGGTGTGTGAAAGATGGTCTGTGACGGTGTGTGAAAGATGGTGTGTGTCAAAGATGTGGTGTCAAAGATGGTGTATGAAAGATGGTGTGTAAAAGATGGTGTGTCAAAGATGAAGTGTGAAAGATGGTGTGTGACAAAGTGGTGTGTGAAAGATGGTGTGTGACAAAGTTGTGTGTGAAAGATGGTGTGGGACAAAGTGGTGTGAAAGATGGTGTGTCAAAGATGGTGTGTCAAGGATGGTGTGTGAAAGATGGTGTGTGACAAAGTGGTGTGAAAGATGATGTGTGAAAGATGGTGTGTGACAAAGTGGTGTGACAAAGATGGTGTGTGAAAGATGGTGTGTGAAAGATGGTGTGTGACAAAGTGGTGTGTCAAAGATGGTGTGTGACAAGTTGTGTGTGAAAGTTGTGTGTGAAAGAGAGGGTGTGACAAAGTTGTGTGTGTGTGTGAAAGATGGTGTGTGACAAAGCTGTGTGTGAAAGATAGTGTGTGACAAAGTGGTGTGAAAGCTGGTGTGTGACAAAGTGGTGTGTGACAAAGTGGTGTGTGAAAGATGGTGTGTGACAAAGTGGAGTGAAAGATGGTGTGTCAAAGATGGTGTGAAAGATGGTGTGGTGTGTGACAAAGTTGTGTGTGAAAGATGGTGTGTCAAAGATTGTGTGAGAGCCAGCCCAGAGCTCCTCCGCGAGGCTCTGTGTACTGCGCCTTTCCCACGAAAGCCCGTCTGCCACACAAAAGCCAGACGCGGCCCAGCGGCGCCCACGCACACGCCAGCTTCTCCAGAAAGCTCTGGTGTACTGCTCCTGCCACACGAAAGCCAGCCGCGGCCCAGCGAAGGCTCTGTGTACTGCGCGTGCCACACGAAAGCCAGCCGCGGCCCAGCGAAGGCTCTGTGTACTGCGCCTGCCACACGAAAGCCAGCCGCGGCCCAGCGGCGCCCACGTGCGCACCAGCTCCTCCAGAAGGCTCTGTGTATACTGCGCCTGCCACATGAAAGCCAACTGCGGCCCAGCGGCGCCCACGCACGCACCAGCTCCTCCAGAAGGCTCTGTGTCCTGCGTCTGCCACACGAAAGCTCCTCCAGAAGGCTCTGTGTACTGCACCTGCCACACGAAAGCCATGAGTTGTGCTGTGATGAGTGCTGTGTGATGAGGTGGTGGCTGTGACTGTGTGATCGGATTGCTGTGTGAGGAATTGGATGTGAGAGGCTGTGTGGTGAGAAGTTTGTGTGATGAAGTGGTGTGATGAGGTGTGCTGTGATGAGTGTGATGGTGTGCTGTGGTGAGGTGTGAGGTGACTTAGGTGGTGTGAGAGCAGGCGGCGCGGCGGGATGAGGAGGCGCGGCGGGATGCGGAAGGAGCGGCGGGTGCAAAGGGAAAAACAAGAACCCCACACAGTGATGTGGGGAACAACCACAACAAACAAGTGAAAACAATTGTCAAACAAAGGACAAACAAAAAAAATGATACAGTAGGCAATGACCACAACATGACTCAATAGTTTACAGGGAAACCATTTTTGGGCGCAGCCCTCGATCCAGACCCCCAAAAAAAAACGACAACAAACAAAAAAAGAGCGCTAGAAATTGGACAGACAAATGACAACACAAATGAAACATGACAAACCTCAATGACAAGAAAATGACCAACAAATGGGGACGTATATATATATATACACGTAGTTACGTACTGCATATAAGTGTTTTCCAATGTTTTCAGGCTCAGTATTTTTCATAATCCTATCCAAAACGACTGAAGGATTCCTGGAGACAAGGTGCCCATCCCGGATTGATTTGGGGGACTTTCGACCGCCAGAAAATATTTGTCAACTCAAAATTTCACTTGGGTTAATTGTCGCACGTGGATGGAAAATTCAGTACTAGTACTACCTAGTACTACTAAAATGCTACATGCTACGATTTCCACTGGCAAACCCCATTGGTCATGTCATGTCCCCAATGCTCTTGGCCAACCATCCTTGTTGGTAAACTATAGATACAGAATGTTGTTTGATGTTGTTTAAATACTCATTGTTGCTGGTGAACCCCACCCATGTAAATTGCTTCTGTTCTAGTTTTTGCGGGTAAAACCCCATGTTTGCTGCTGTTATCCAACACTTCCGGTGGTGAAACAATCATTTCTGCGAATGTCTGCTAGTCAAAAGACGACTTCTATTCGGGTTTGCCCAGAAATGGGGAGCATATAATAATAATAATAACAACAATAGTAATAATAACAATAATAATAAATTATATGAATGTATATATTATGCACCCCAAAATAACCATGCTAATGGTGAACATATGTGAAAATTGTGATCATCCATGGGGTTTAGGGCTGGTTACTGGTTACTATATGGTTGCCAGGTAACCTCTCCTGACAAAAAACAAAAAAACAAATTATCAAAACCAGCTACTGGCAAAAAAAAAACAACATATTTTACAAAGCCATTTTCAGAAGCCAGCACCTATTGGTGACTATAACCAGCCCCAATCTACTCAGCCCCGCCTTATTTTTCGCTGGCTTCAGCCGTCTCTTCTTCTTTCTGGGCACCGTGATCACCTCAGATCAGGAATGACACCCTGCAGGGGAAAATCATGGGCAAATGGGGTGAAAACATGGGGTGAAAAAATGGGTGAAAATGGAACATACCTCCAATTTCAATGTCAACTTTGGAATATATGATCATTAACTCGTAGGTTTAGGGCACACCCAATTCTTGGACAAACTCAAATCAACTGGCTATGTGTTCCATATGTTTTTCCAATCATCCAATTTTGGACAAATTCTGGGGTACCAGATCTTAACATTGTTGACCATGAAATTTTTGGGTACCCAAATAAATTTGAACGCTGGTAAATGCTGTATACTATGAAGTTCGCTACGATTAGTTACCTTTCCTAATAAATGTGTGGTAATTACAATGGTTTTTATCTTCATAAATGGGCTATGATTATATACATTACCCACATTGCATGGGTTGCTCCTTCTCAAATATAGTCAGCTCCCAACTTTAAATCCAATCCCCCAAACCGGGCAACCGTCACAACTCCACAGCCCTCTCCAAACTACGGCCAAGAATCCGGTGTAAAGGATTTGTCATCATCGTCATCCGATCTGGCCGTACTTGGGGGAGCAATTCCAATTATATATTTCATGGATGGGCTATATTCCAACTTGGTTATGGCTATTGATAACCCCCACCTCCAAGTAGGGCTCAGTCATCTATTTTCGGGGACTCAGACTTTGGACACATACACATCGTCGTCGTTGTTCCAATCATAACCATAAACAAAAATAAATAATAATAATAATCATCATCATAATAATAATAACAGTAATAATAAGAATAGTGATAACAATGATAATGATAATGATAATGATAATGATCGTCATCACCATCACCATCACCGTCACCGTCACCATCACCGTCACCATCACCGTCAGCATCAGCATCAGCATCAGCATCGTCATCGTCATCATCATCATCATCATCACCATCCTCATAGTCATCGTCATCGTCATCATCAGCATCATCACCATCATCAGCAGCAGCAGTAGGTGGTTGGATACCCCCTTGTCTACGAAATGTTTGGTTATGTAAATGGGTATGGTTCAAAAGTCTCAACCCCACCTTGGTGAATTATTAAAAATAACAAGCAATTAGTAATCCATTATTTTAACCCATACCCAACTATTCAATTTTTCTTGGCAAAATCTCCCCTGGGGGCATTCTGCCGCAAACCACGGCCAGGGCCGCTGATCTTGTTTGGTGTCAAGGTCCTACGGCATTGAATGGCATTGAGATCGGGGGCAGTCACATAGAAAACGATCAACAAAATGAACAAATCCACTACCCATGAATAGCGTAGCTACATTTCGGTGATGTGTAGGAGAATTGGATGATCCAGGATGCTCAACCAGGTGTCTTCCTATGCAGTTCATTGGCTTCCAAACCGCTCCAAGGGGGTTCAAATGGGAGCCCAGGGGGACCGATCAGGGTTATAAACCACTTACTAGTCCACCGTAAACGTTGATCTCTGGAGGCGGCTGAACTGAAAATGGTAATCTGATGTAATCTGAATAATTAGTCTAATTTGGGACATCACATTACCATCTAAGGTCATCACCATTAACTCATCAACTTGGCATCAGCTCATCAAGCATCTGCAGCTCAATCATTCAGCTGGGCATCATAGGTTGCCTAAAGTCTATCCGAATCTGAATCTGGGAGATCATTGTGACAAGTTCCACATCCCGAACATTTGACCTTAAAGGCCTAAACATCTATATCCAATCATAATGGTGAAATAGTGAATAATATATCTATACATGATTAGATATACCATTATATATGTTATAAGTTATATAAGTAATATATATATATATACTATACATAATTATATATACATGTCTAATATATATATACACACACACCAGTTTTTTTTTGAGAGGGCATTCAAGGTGGATCATAGAGAAGACGTTGGAGGTAGATCATGGTGGGGGCGTGACCAGGCTTTTGTCAAGTCCCACCCACCCAGCTGCCATTCCTCCACCGAGATCTTGATTTTTTCACTGCTGTCGTCCACCGGTTTGGGTCTGGCAATGTGATAATCACTCACATGTTTAGCAACATCAAGTGGGAAGACATGAAACGACAGCGGAAAACAACTTAGACTTAGACTTGCATTGTTAGTGCTGAGTGGCAATCTCTAATCTGATCTGATATGATTTGGAAATCTGAATCTATAGGGGACACACATATACACAAATGAGATATGAATAGATATGATATAAAAAGATTATACAAGTTCATGTCTAGTCTACAATGATCATCTCTCCGCATCCTGGAACCAAATGGTCGCTCGTTGGCACCTCTTCTGACATCTCCGGTAGAACACGAAAAAACCTGGATACAAAGAAGCACCACAGATTGGATATACCATAGTACATCCTAGTGTGATGATTCTTGAAGTGAGTACTGTAGATATGAGTAGATACTAGATGGATTTGATTGGGTGAGTGGCTTGGTAAGTGGCATCTCAGTGGCATCTCAGTGGCATCTCAGTGACATTCCGCAAGAACTTGGGCCCTGGCTAAGTGGAAAGAGGAGCCCGAGGGAAACCGCTGCCACCGCCAGGGTGTCCTCAAAGCTGTGCGGCAGTTTTCAGTTGGAACATGTTAGAACTGGTGTTCTAATGGTGCGTTTAATCGTGTTTCACCTGTTCTGTCCCAATATATCAAATAGTATTGGAGAACTTCAAGATGACTCTAGATCATATGAGATAATCTTATATTTTCATATAGTTTCTATGATTTCAGCATTTTTCAGCCCATCTTCTCAACGGCATTCGGTTGCTGAAAACGGAGCCGGCGACCATGTGCCAACAGGCTCAAACCTGAGGCGGCAGCGTCATCTGTTGGCAGCGCCTCAACGTTCAATTTCCAGGCGAAATTTTCAGAGGGTACCAAGATTCTCTAAGATGCCAATGGCCATGCTGTGTCAAAAAAGATCTATTTGCATTGGAAATCTGACATTGAGCAAGTCTGGTGTGTTAAACAAGAAAAATCAGTCTCCAGCAATGCAAGAGACACTGCCACCGTGAAAACTGTCTGCCGTAAACTCGTTAGACTCATCCCCACCAACCATCAGAATTCTTGAAGATCACCAAGTCACATCACTGATCGGCGGGAACGTCACCGAGACCTGGTCATGTTATGTCATGTTTCTTTCCGCTGGGGATGCCACTGGTGTTTCATGACATGAGCCTATCATGAATCGTAGAAATCCAGAGGCAAACAAGGCAACCTGTTCCCCAAATGCAATAATGATGTTTGATGCCACTGGTACAGTCGTAAATGGGTTGTGTACAATTCATGGTCATCATCATTCATCATTGCCAAGTTGCTGAGACCGTCGGCTCGCTGATGCTTGTCACCGCAACCTCAGAGAGGCGCCAGCGCAACCCATACCTCTAGCCCCACCGCTTAGTAGGCATGATTACATACCAGAAATTGTGTATATATATATATATCATATCTATATATCATATATCTATATAAAATAATTAAAATAAGCTTCCAGATTACTGATCCAGGTGTTCTCATCGTGGCATATCATCATCATCATCATCATCATCATCATCATCATCATCTCATCATCATCATCAACATCATCATCATCATCATCATCTTCATCGTCGTCGTCGTCGTCGTCGTCATCGTCATCGTCATCATCATCATCATCATCGTCATCATCATCATCATAATCATCACTTTTTGTTGCGGGGTAATCTCCCGTCAAGAGAGTTTATTACTCCATCAAATAACGACGAAAAAACTCAGACACCTGGGCCTCCCCTACGGCAACATTCGCGATGGTTGGGACGCTCTGAACCTCCTCCACTAAGATCTGGGTGACCTCAATTAAGGGGAATCGGCAAAATTCTGGGAGTGTGTCTGGACATGGTGGATTTAGTCCGAATTCATGGCACTATGAATGATGATGCTTTAAAAAGAGGAATTTCGGGGTATCATATTGTCAGACAAAACCACAAAAAACAAGGGGGGGCCTGAGAACCCAAAAGCAAAACGACAGCAAACAAATTCGAGTAATAATTGGTTTATTTCCCTTTCGCCTCTTGCCAGCACCTTTTTGGAAGATGAATATTATGGGCGCATTCACTGCAAAATTCATTTTTTCAGCTCTACAGAGACTTTTACACACAGAGGACGTTTTACACAGAAGCAAGGTTTTGTTTTGTGCAAACGACTTCTCTGTGTCAAAGCCTCTGAGTCCAGCATGCTGTCTCGCTCCCTCCCAGCGAAGCTCTCCCCAAGCTATTTCCACGGTTTCCCCTCCGTCCAGCATGCTGTCTCGCTCCCTCCCGGCGAAGCTGTCCGCAAGCTATTTGCACCTCCCCTTCCTTCCTCCCTCCCTTTCTTCCTCCCTTCCTTCCTTCTCTTCCCCTTCCTCCCTTCCTTCCTTCCTCCCTTCCTTCCTTCCTTCCTCCCTTCCTTCCTTCCTCCCTTCCTTCTCTTCCTCTTCCTCCCTTCCTTCCTTTCTTCCTTCCTTCCTTCTTTCCTTCCTTCCCATCTCCGTCCAACACTACGTATCGCTCCCCCGCAGCAAACGAGAAACTAAACGAGAACCCAAGCATCGGAGATACTTTTGGGAAAAAACGGGTATCGTATCCTACAAAATTGCCAAGCCACTGCCGCATCTATACATCTGGTTATTTAACATAGCCATGGTTTCCATGGCCATAGAAATAGTGAGGGCCCCATTAAAAATAATGTTTTTCCATAATTTTTTTCCATGGTCAGGTTGGTTGGTCCTCACCTTTTTTCTTCTGAAGCCGGACCCGCCGAATCTTCGTTCTGGGGCAAAATCTTCGTTCTGAGCACGGTCATGCGACGGCGGCTGATTTCCAAATCAACCTCTCCTTTCCTTTCCCTTCCTTCCCTTCCTTTCCCGTCCTTTCCCTTCCTTTCCCTTCCTTTTCCGTCCTTTCCCTTCCTTTGCCTTTCTTTCCCTTTCTTTCCCTTCCTTTCCCTTTCTTTCCGTTCCTTTCCCGTCCTTTCCATTCCTTTCCCTTCCTTTCCCTTCCTGTCCCTTCCGTTCCCTTCCTTTCCCTTTCTTTCCCGAATGCGTAGCAAGGGTTCCCGTTGCCGAACCGTCCGCAACCACTCGCAACCGTCCGCGCGATTGCTATATGGCCGTGCCTCTGGTAAGTTCTCCAGAAGGGGTAATTTGTGCGTTTCGCGTGGCAGGCGTGGCACTTCGTGACATTCAGACGTGTTTTGTAACGTGTCGAAAGTCATTTTATGTGGCATGCGCAATACTTTTGCGACGTTTTCAGAAAATGCGTTGCAGTTTTCGTGGCAGGCGCAGCACTTTGGACGTGTCCATCGTCATTTTGCGTGGCAGGCGCAGCACTTTAGACGCGTCGTGTTGCGTGTTTTTTACGAATCGCATTGGCAGGGCCGCGTCAAGTGGAGACAAGGTGCAAATTCCGTGGCAGACGTGGCATTTTGTGAGATGTGCTGAAAATTGACGGAAGCCTCCCACGAAACATCGATTTTGAGGTAGCAAATTTAAAGGCTCGTACGAAAACTCGTAGGAAAACGTCGGTTTTGAAGCTACAAAGTATGAAAATTGGAGGAAGTCTCGCACGAAAGGCTCGTTTTGATGCTCCCACATCTCTCGTCTCAAGTCTCTGGTTTTCCTGCGGCGTCGCCGTGTCTATGGGGGAAGCTGCAAAATCTCTCCTTTTCAAAGGTTTCCAAGCAGGTTGTCATGTCGTTTTGCGTGGCAGGGGTGGCACTTTACACTCTACACTCCGCACTCTACACTCCACACTGCACACTCTACACTCCACCACACTCTACACTTTGCACACTCCTCACTCCACACTTTACACTCTACACGCCACACTCCACACTCGACACTTTCCACTCCACACTCTACACTCCACACTTTACACTCCACACTCCTCACTCCACAATTTACACTTTACACTCCTCACTCCACACTCTACACTTTACACTTTGCACTTCCACTCCCCCTTCACACTCTACACTTTACATTCTACACTCCACAATTTACACTTTGGACGCCACACTTTAAACTTTGCACTCCACACTTTACACTCCTACACACTCCACACTCTACACCCCACACTCCACCACACTCCACACTCTACACCCCACACTCCACCACACTCCACCACACTCCACACTTTACACTCCACACTCCACAAACTACACTTTCCACTCCACACTCCACACTCCACACTTTACACTCCACACTCCTCACTCCACAATTTACACTTTACACTCCTCACTCCACACTCTACACTTTGCACTCCTCACTCCACACTTTACACTCCACACTTTACCCTCCACACTCCGCACTCTACACTTTACGCTGTACACTTTACACTCTACACTCCACACTTTACATTTTTGACTCCTCACTCCACACTTTACATTTTTACATTTTACACTCCTCACTCCACACCTTACACTCCACACTCCACACTCTACACTTTCCACTCCACACTTCACACTCTGCACTTTCCACTCCACACTTCACACTTTACACTCCATACTCTACACTTTTCATTTTTCACTCCACACTTTACATTTTTACATTTTACACTCCTCACTCCACGCTTTACACTCCACACTCCACACTTCCCACTTTACACTCCACACTCTACACTTTACACTCAACACTTTACACTCCACACTCCTCACTTTACACTCCACACTCCACACTCGACAGTTTCCACTCCACACTCTACACTCTACACTTTACACTCCACACTCCTCACTCCTCACTCCACACTATATACTTTACACTCCACACTTTACAGTTTGCACTTTACACTCCTCACTTCACACTTTACACTCCACACTCTACACTTTACACTCTACACTTTACACTCTACACTCCACACTCCACACTTTACACTCCACGCTTTCCTCTCCACGCTTCACACTCCACACTTTACACTCCACACTTTTATGCTCCACACTCCACAGTCTACACTTTACACTCTACACTCCACACTTTACCCACTGCACACTCCACACTCTACACTCCTCACTCCACACTTTACACTCCACACTTCCCACTTTACACTCCACACTCTACACTTTACACTCCAGACTTTACACTCCACACTCCGCACTCTACACTTACACTCTACACTCCACACTCTACACTGTCCACTCCACACTGCAGACTGGTAACAGGGCAAGTGTTCAAATAAACTATTGCAGAAAATTGTTCTGAGTGACTGCATATCCATTAACATAATCCCTTCCTCCTAATACTAAACGTCCCCCTAATACTAAAAACAGGCATCCATCTCCAATTTCCGAAAATTTCAGTTTGGCCAATTTGACTTTTAATTGATCCCCTTTAAAAAACAATTTAAAAATCAACCTACCATTTGCGGTTTCTCCCCCCTAATACTAAAAACTAGTTCACCCCGGGGTGTTTAGTATTAGGGGGGCCTAGTCCCAATCCCTCACTCCAAGCTGCCTGGCTACTCTAGCAATTAGGGGTACAGTAAGCTTCGAACTGCCATTTTTGGCAATATTTTAATTGCGTTATATAAGGAAATTTAATTGATTTTGAGATCGGAAAAAATAGTTTTTAGTATTAAAGGTTTTAATTTAGTATTAGGGGTAAGCTTCGAACTGCCATTTTTGGCAATATTTTAATTGCGTTATATAAGGAAATTTAATTGATTTTGAGATCGGAAAAAATAGTTTTTAGCATTAAGGGTTTTAATTTAGTATTAGGGGTAAGCTTCGAACTGCCATTTTTGGCAATATTTTCATTGCATTATATAAGGAAATTTAATTGATTTTGAGATCGGAAAAAATAGTTTTTATTATTAAGGGTTTTAATTTAGTATTAGGGGTAAGCTTCGAACTGCCATTTTTGGCGATATTTTAATTGCGTTATATAAGGAAATTTAATTGATTTTGAGATCGGAAAAAATGGTTTTTATTATTAAGGGTTTTAATTTAGTATTAGGGGTAAGCTTCGAACTGCCATTTTTGGCAATATTCCCTAATAATAAATACCCCCCTAATACTAAAAACTACTTGCCGTGTTTTGTATTAGGGGGGGGGTTTAGTATTAGGAGGAAGGGATTACGTGTGAGCATTCGGGTTCGTGGGCTGCATCTTAGCCGTCCGCGCAATTCTCCGCACCCATTTGCCGTCCGCCTTCTTCTCCCCACCCATTTCCAGCCCCTCCCTCGCACCCTCGCCGTCCGCAACCGTCCGCGCAATTCTCCCCACCCATTTGCCGTCCGGAGCCGTCCGCGCAGCCAAGCTCGCTCATCAACAGCGGCTTCTTCCCCCGACCCATTTCCAACCAATCCGTTGCACCCAGCCGTCCGCGCAATTCTCCGCACCCATTTCCCGTCCGCAGCCGTCCTCGCTCATCACCAGCGCGATCCCCACCCATTTCCAGCCACTCCCTTGCACCCACGCCGTCCGCAGCCGTCCACGCAATTCTCCGCACCCATTTCCCGTTCGCAGCCTTCCGCGCAGCCAAGCTCGCTGATCTCCAGCGGCTTCTTCTCCCCACCCATTTCCAGCCACTCCTTGGCACCCACGCCGTCCGCAGCCGTCCGCGCTATTCTCCCCACCCATTTGCCGTCCGCAGCCGTCCGCGCAGCCAAGGTCGCTCATCACCAGCGGCTTTCTTCTCCCCACCCATTTCCAGCCACCCCCTTGCACCCACGCCGTCCGCAGCCGTCCGCGCTGCAGTTCTCCGCACCCATTTCCCGTCCGCAGCCGTCCGCGCAGCCAAGGTTGCTCATCACCAGCGGCTTCTTCTCCCCACCCATTTCCAGCCACTCCCTGGCACCCACGCCGTCCGCAGCCGTCCGCGCAGTTCTCCGCAGCCATTTCCCGTCCGCAGCCGTCCGCGCAGCCAAGCTTGCTCATCACCAGCTTCTCCCCTTCCAGCCACTCCGTTGCACCCACGCCGTCCGCAGCCGTCCGCGCAATTCTCCGAACCCATTTCCCCTCCGCAGCCGTCCGCGCAGCCAAGCTCGCTCAATCTCGCTCATCCCCAGTGGCTTCTTCTCCCCACACATTTCCCACACCGTCCGCAGCCGTCCGCGCAGTTCTCCGCACCCATTTCCCGTCCGCAGCCGTCCGCGCAGCCAAGCTTGCTCATCACCAGCGGCTTCTCCCCACCCATTTCCAGCCACTCCGTTGCACCCACGCCGACCGCAGCCGTCCGCGAAATTCTCCGAACCCATTTCCCGTCCGCAGCCGTCCGCGCAGCCAAGCTCGCTCAATCTCGCTCATCCCCAGCGGCTTCTTCTCCCGACCCATTCCCAGCCACTCCCTTGCACCCATGCCGTCCGCAGCCGTCCGCGCAATTCTCCCCATCCATTTGCCGTCCACAGCCGTCGCGCAGCCAAGCTCGCTCATCCCCAGCGGCTTCTTCTCACCGACCATTTCCAGCCACTCCCTTGCACCCACGCCGTCCGCAGCTGTCAGCGCAATTCTCCACACCCATTTGCCGTCCGCAGCCGTTCGCGCAATTCTCCGGACCCATTTTCGTCCGCAGCCGTTCGTGCAGCCAAGCTCGCTCATCACCAGCGCCTTCTTCTCCCCACCCATTTCCAGCCACTTCCTTGCACCCACGCCCTCCGCAGCCGTCCGCGCAATTCTCCGAACCCATTTCCCGTCCGCAGCCGTCCGCGCAGCCAAGCTCGCTCATCACCAGCGGCTTCTTCTCCCCACCCATTTCCAGCCACTCCCTTGCACCCACGCCGTCCGCAGCCGTCCGCGCAGCCAACCTCGCGCTCAACCGCCAAGCCACTCCGTTTTCATCACACACCCACGCCGTCCGCAGCCGTCCGCGCAGTTCTCCGCACCCATTTCCCATCCGCAGCCGTCCGCGCAGCCAAGCTCGCTCATCACCAGCGGCTTCCCCAACCCATTTCCAGCCACTCCGTTGCACCCACGCCGTCCGCCACCGTCCGCGCAGTTCTCCGCACCCATTGCCGTCCGCGCAGCCAAGCTCGCTGATCTCCAGCGGCTTGTATACTCCCCACCCATGTCCAGCCACTCTTTTGCACCCAGGCCGTCCGCAGCCGTCCGCGCAATCCTCCGCAACCATTTCCCGTCCGCAGCCGTCCGCGCAGCCAAGGTCGCTCATCACCAGCGGCTTCTTCTCCCCACCCATTTCCAGCCACTCCGTTGCACCCACGCCGTCCGCAGCCGTCCTCGCAGTTCTCCGCACCCATTTGCCGTCCGCAGCCGTCCGCGCAGCCAAGGTCGCTCATCACCAGCGGCTTCTTCTCCCCACCCATTTCCAGCCACTCCGTTGCACCCACGCCGCCCGCAGCCATCCGCGCAGTTCTCCGCACCCATTTGCCGTCCGCAGGCGTCCGCGCAGCCAAGGTCGCTCATCACCAGCGGCTTCTTCTCCCCACCCATTTCCAGCCACCCCCTTGCACCCACGCCGTCCGCAGCCGTCCGCGCAGTTCTC